TTACTTACGGTATTCATTGCTTTGATTTGATTTTGGTGTTTGGTCCTTAATGATTTTAGTTTGAATTACTGATTCTCTAAGCTTCTGTAACTGTTACTCCCTATTTGCTTAAAGAGGAATTCAGGAAATACTACTTTGTAATTTAAGGAGTACAATTAAGGTTGGGGATTGTTAAGAATTTTAAGTTGGAGGGATTTATTGTTAATGTGTTAAGTTCTTCTGCGGAGTTGGAATTTCTGCCTGTGGGAGACTATTCTTCTGTATGTATGGTTATATGAAATAAGAACTTCAATATGGGAATTTTTTTTTTCTCTTCAATTTTTCCATTGTTTGACTCTGGATATTACGTCACATTTTTTATGTCAGGAACAGACCGTGTTCCGGAGCCCCAGTCGTTCTACAGTCGAAGGCACCCTGCGAATAGAAGGAAGAGCACGGAGACAGCAGCTGCACCATTTATTTTTTCTACTGCATCGAAAATTCTATCTCGGTAAATCTCTTTGCACTTTTCAATCTCTGATACGCTTAATAGATTTAACTTCTGAAATCAGTGTGATTTAGTCGTTGGTTCATAATACCGAATGAGAGTTTACCATGTTATTTATGTGACTAATGGCATTCATTCAATGGTTCTGAAGTGGAGCAGTTTTCCTTCTCTGCAATAATTATCATGGCCTGCCCATGCCCCGCCTTTTGGAAAAATTAATCAGTTATCTATCCTGGTTTATGCGTTGCATTGATTCTTGAAGTAAAATTTGACCGTTTAAGCAATTACTATTCTGGTTGATCTTGGGTTACTCTGACTTTATCTACATTAAGGAAAAAATGGCACCCCCTAAATTAGGTTTTGTCAACCCATTTTCTGTTTTATTGTTGGTGATAGGTTGATTGAGCTTCAATTGTTTGACTGCTTTAGGATGAATAGCTCTAGTCTGTTGAGGCTTTCATCTTTCTAATCGAATGATTGTTTGGCTTCTTAATGGCCATTTTTTTTAAATTTTATAATTAAATGGACAAAGATAAATTTAAGATAGTTGGGCATGAGTGATGATAATACCAATGCTACAATGTATCTGGAAAGATACGGGTTAATGGATACAAGAAATGTGTCTCCTAATCCCTCATTTTCAGTTTATTACTCATTCAGTTGTAAATAATTCCCTTGCTTTTATGTAGGGGTGAGAAAAGAGCTGCAGACAGTAGCCCATCCAGAGCGAGGACTGTTCCTTATAGAAAGGTCCGTCCAAAGATTATAGCACTCACAATTCTTTTAATCTGTCAAACTATACTCAGGGCATACTTCTATCCTTGTCTTATTACTCTTTAGTCAGAAAATTTTGTGTCCGGACATTTCTCTAAGAAATATGATTTAATCTGTGCTTATTATCTATACCACAACTGATGATCTCTGTTCCTAATTGGTACCATTGTATGAATGGTACTCATAGTCATGGTTTATATTTTTAGGAAGCGAATTCTCCCTTTTACCCTTATTTGCATAAACTCTAGTAATTGGAGGTCTAGCAATCTTCTAGGAGATTATTAATTGATTAGAGACTGACTTCCGGTTCTTCGTATAGATTATTCTTTACTTGGAACGACACAGCTGACAATGCCCTCATTTCAGTCTAAGCCATTAAATTCACTGCTCCTCAGTTTTGGTAGCCTTACTTTTACTAATATTATGACATAATGTTATCAGTCAGGTAGTAAGAATCTGAAATCATAGTTCAACAAATCGTACTAATGAGCGCCTATTATTATTATGGGCAGAGGCAGCGTGGCACGATATATGGGGAAGATGAATCCAAGATTGAGCTTCCACGGGAATTTGTTGAGAAGCAGAAAGCATACTTTTCAGAAGTAGATGCATTTGAACTGCTAGTGGAGGAGGCTAAATCATCCGATTCAGAGTAGACTGTGGTATATAGTTTGGAGAAGCATAGGCAATGTAATAATTCTAGTAGTGTGTATGGTGTGAAGCTGTAAAGTTCATTAGACTCATGGAAACGGCTTGGTCAACTCGTCATTCAATGCAGGTGCTGTTTTCTTCCCCAACTCCTTAGCATATGTTAGCTTTTTGCGAGTTTACAATATCTGAATTGGACTATCGATCGAGTGTATATGCTTTAATAACTATGATAGGGTTGCTGGTCGCCGTCAGTTTTATTTTTCTGTCACCTCGAACGGAATGGAAAAGAATGATAAAACAGTCGTAATGATTTTTGAAAATATTAGAAAGTACTAAATAAGTGAATGTACTATAGTTGATATTCTTATTGAGATGGTCGAAGTAAGACGAAAATGTTGGATTGAGATGGGGTTAAATTCAGGGGCAGTAGTACTGATGATGGGCAGGGAATCGATGGAGGACGACGACGACGGAGAAAGAGTTGGCGGAGTCGACGGGGGGCTGTGGAAATCAAAATGATGTGTGAAGAGGACGAGGGAGAAGGAGAAGGGGGATTATATGTTCTCTATATTTGTACTTCAGAATCTCAGTTCTAATAGCAGTGAGCTCAGCCTTTTAAGTTTGAACTTGGTGTTGAAGAGAGCTGAAATGGCGCCCATGCAGCCATAGACAAGATCTCTCAGCCTCAGATTGGCTTCGTAAACTAGGCTGTTCGCGGCGTCGCCCCTTTCGCTCTCCGCTACCTCCTATAATTCACCGTAAGAACGAATAAAAGTTTGATAATTTGGGCTCTTGGCATGAGCATCTTAGCGACGTTGCTGGCACCAAGAATCAGAGGGCTTGTTAGGCTCAAACCGATTGCACGAGTGAAATCAACCGCTAGAACCTAGCCCAAGATTTAGCTAATTGGGTTCAACTAAGACTAATCGGGCTCATATCAACCCAATGGGCCTAGCCCACCCTTGGGTCTATTCGGCCCATGTGAATTGGGCTTTCTCATATTTGGGATACGTAATAAATAAGTAATTCATTTATTTAATAATTTTTTTTTTGTCAAAATCAATTAAATATATAATTTTAAAAATTATTATTGATTTATTATAATTACATAATTAATTAAAATAATTTTATATTTTATGATCGATTAATTAAATAAGTTTTTTTTTAGTCCACAAATGTGATACATCCCGCCGCCGCGCGCTAGAAATTTCATCTACACAATTCATTCACATTAAAAAGCACAATCCGCGAAGCTTTCACGCGGATCGACCTTCTGACCGTCGATTCATCACAAAATCCAACGAACGGCCGCGCGTCCAATTGGAGATTGGCTCTACTATAAATTCAAACCCAATCTTCTATTCATTTCACCAAATCAAAACCTCCATTTAGTCGTTTCGCATACACTCCTAATCCATCTTCGAAAATGTCTGGCCGTGGAAAGGGAGGCAAGGGTTTGGGGAAAGGAGGAGCTAAACGTCACAGGAAGGTCTTGAGAGATAATATTCAAGGTATTACGAAGCCTGCTATTCGCCGTTTGGCTCGTAGAGGCGGTGTGAAGCGTATCAGTGGTTTGATTTATGAAGAAACCAGAGGTGTTTTGAAGATCTTCCTCGAGAATGTTATTCGTGATGCTGTTACCTACACAGAGCACGCCAGAAGGAAGACCGTCACCGCTATGGATGTGGTCTATGCCTTGAAAAGGCAGGGAAGGACTTTGTATGGTTTCGGAGGTTAGGTTATAGATTGACTACACGGAAGGTTTTAGATCTCGTCTTTCGATCTGGTTCCTGTCTAGTTTTCTCATTGTTGTTTCTTATTTGGAACTTCTGTAACTTAATCTCGGTTATTTAGAAATGGTAATGCTACTCGATTCATGAATTATGTTCCTTCTGAGATGTTCGTCGAGATCTGAGAATAGGACGAGTCATTTTTTCTAGCCTAGAAACTTAGCAACTACTGCTTATCGGAGGGAATTATGCTTGAGCTTATGAACCGCTTTTGAAATCTGTTTCTAAAATTGTGGATTGACTTGGTCTCCCTGTAGATGTGGTGGGAAACATTCAAACAATTACCAACATGGATTAGCAGCCACAAACTTAAATTCCGTATTCTGCGATAGATGAAGGCTGTAAACTGTTAATATAAAAAATCTGGAAAACTTCAATACTGGAAATTAATCGCTTTGAAATTGATTGGCCTTTTTCCCTTCCCGCTTCTCGGCGGCTTGAGGTGAAATGTTAACGTATTTCGAAAGCACAATCCACGATTGCTTCACGCGGATAAATATTACTGACCGTCAGATTTAACACACCATCCAACGAGCGACATGACTTCCCGCGTAAACAACAACTTTGCCGTATCGTCGAATTAATATCTTTTTGAGTGTCTTTATTTTATTTTATTTCATTTGTTTGATTGTTTCAATTTTTCTTTTCACGAAATTTAATGATTTGAATGATTAGCAAGCATATTTTGTACTAAAGTTCGTATACTAATAAAACATTTCATGGTATATAACTTTTGGAGGACGAAATTTAAATTAATAAATGTGAATGAAATCAACTACAAACCATAAGTAGCAAAACATTAATTTCTCCCTGAAAAGAGTGATTTAACTAAAATTGTACAAGAATTAAAGTGAAATTATTATGGGTAGTTAAGAGAAAATGAAGAAAGAAATCCAATATTTCAACTCAATTTAATTAAATGCACATTAATCATTATAAATATGTTGAATGTTTATATATTATTTATCTTCCAAAACAAAAATGTAATAAATTTGGATTGGGATAGAAAACCTTATCGTCTCCATTTCCGTTACCTACGTGTAGAAAAATTGGACGGAGCATAGAAAATATAATTCCCGTCCTTAACCTCATTTACAAATAGAGAGAAATTTCTCCCAATTTCTCCGTCATTCTCCATTTAAATAAGATGTCTGTATGTAATTTAGAGACAGTCTCCTCCATTTACTCAACAGATTAAATGGACATCTTTCATTTCAATCAACCATAAATATTTTTCACTTCTAAAATCTCTAACCATTCATTTCTTAAAGAAATGAATAAAATAAAAGGCAGCTAAAATAAATATGTAATTATTTAAAATGAATAAGGATAAATTTTGTGGATTCTACCCTTCTTTGATCATAGCTTCTTTGTATTTCTCAACATTAATTTCTCATCTTCCTGCAACTGCACGGCAGCCCCTGACTTCAGGTTTTATTAGCCTGCATTTCAGTTCTTATTCTCATTACTTTCTCCCACTTGGTTTCTTGTCCCTTTCCCTCCGACGCAGATAAGGCTTTCGCCCCAATCGATTCGAGCTTAATGTTCGATATCTAAGTTACTCTATTTCATCTATAAAATTGAAATGCTACGAGACTTATAAAACCCAATTATTATATAGGATTTGATTGTTAGAACGTGACTTCCACATCGACTAATTAAGTGATTGATCATGATTTATAAGTAATGAACACTATCTCCATTGGTACGAGAATATCATACTATTGTGGAGATTCGTGGTTCTTAATATGTTAATGTTCGGCATTGATTGATTATTACACATGAGAGTCAAAAATGAAAATATTAGCTTGAATCATGAGATATGCATTCAACTTGTGTTCGTACAATATAGCATTTCACTCCACACACACAATGAGAGATGAAGAGCTTATGTGTACTAATTAACAGTACCTCGTGTTGTAGATCCATGCCCAACAATGGTCAACAAAGCATTCTTCACGCTCACTAACTGGTAGCAACCTCCCAAAAATGATCCCCTACCCGAACAACCGCCATACCCCAATGTCGACGTCGGAGAATTGGAGCTCCCCATCGCCTCCTCCCCGTCGTTGTCGTTGTCGTTATACTCCAACGGCAAGCTCTGAGAATCCAACGAGTGACGACGACGACGCTTAAAGAATTTCGGTCTAACGAACGGCGACGGTGAGGAACAGGAGGACGAGGAAGAGGCGGAGAAGGACGACAAAGTTCGCCGGGGGAAAATAGAGCTCAAAAGGGTTGGTTTGGAAGAGGCCTTGAAGGTAGAATGTGAAGTGGAAGAATAATAAGACGGCGGCGGCGTAAGAGGAGGGATGGAAGTTTCTGAGAAAGTATGCTTTGGAGTGCCGGGACGGGACTCCCATCTGAACGGAATTGCACCGGCAGCGCCGCCGTAATACACTCTAAAAGAGGAGTTAGCGGCGGAATTAGGGTCTTTTGACACAACCCTCGACAAGAATCTATTATCTTCATGCTTGATTTTGAGTGATTTTTGAGAGACTTGGTCGTAGTTTCGAGTTTGCATCGTGAAAGAGATCTGAGCTTTGTTGTTGCAGAGATGTGAGAGATTTCAAGATCCAATTCTCATTATTATATCCAATTTACTTACTGTGTAATAAGCCTTGAAGTTGACACACATAAATGTTGATATCAGGCTTTTGTCTTTAGGGGAACCAGCTTAGTAACATCAATATTTGTTTACTAAATTAATTTAAAGGGGTGAATATTAATTATGAGTTTTCTTGGGGTGAATATTAATTATGAGTTTTCTTGGGGTGAATATTAATTATGAGTTTTCTTGGGGTGAATATGTGGGTAAAGAATTTAATAAGGGCAGAGTAGATGGGGCCATTTGCAAACGAAGAAATTAAAGAGGCATGGTGGCAAAACAGTTGTGGAAGAGGGGGGATTATTAAAGATGGTCTAATATTTTAAATATTTTAAATAAATTGTTTAATTTAACTCTATATGTAATTATCGAATATTTTATTTGAGTTAATTGGAATGTTGGAGATTTAAATATTAATTAAACATATATGCTCATTTGTTCGCATTAATGGTATGGAATTGTAAGAAATGGTAAACATTAAATGGAATGAAAGATTCATAAAGCTTTAAAACGAATATGGTGGTCCACATATAGGTAGATAACAACATTAATGTGTAACAATTATTAGATCGAATGCATCAAAGAATACCAATCGGAATGCTCTAATTAAAGCTCATTCTTTACCCACCAATAATTTTTTCGGTTTTGCAAAAAATTGAATAATATTATATAAGGTCGGTGGATGAATGTTCAGTATAATGAAAGCCCAAATAATTTTAGAACGACAAAAATGTTTTTATCATAAAAAAAATACTTCTAAAACGATCTGTCTGGCTTTCGTGCCATTTTGATTAGGTAAAAATATATTTAATATAATTTATTTCCTAACAAATTCTTGAGTCAAAAGCTAAAATAATTAGCTGATATTATTAGTTTTTTTTTTTAAAATTTGTGGTTAAAAATGAAAAATAAATTTGAAGAAAAAGGAAATTGGTTGGTTGAGAAAAAGCTTAAAAGGGGTGCACTCGCCGCAATCATGCTCTTATGGCCTTTTTATTTTATTTTATTTTGTTCTTTTTTTTTTTTATAATCATTTTAATTAAAAGCTATATATATATATATATCCAAATTCATCAATTTATTTTCTTCTTCCTCCCATGGCCACAGCTTTTGCCCCCAAACATGCAATTACTCGAATCATTAGCCACTTTTGATATAATTAAAGATATCCTAATTTACGTTTAAAAAAAAAATCATAATTTATTAACTCAACATTATAAAATAATTCAATATTTCAAAAAATTCATCCTTTATAATTTATTTTAAATTATTTTATTAGTTGTTGAATAATTAATTCATTAATTAATGGATTTAGAAAAGCAAATATGGCACATGCCACTTTATTTTCCCTTTTTTCATAATTGTTTTCTTTAAAAATAAGTAATCCATTATTAATTATAATTATCACTTTTCTTTGACTATTCTTACTTGTGCAAATTAAAATCAGCCACGTGGACTTTATGCACTCGGATTGCAGAATCGGTCCCCACAGAACACCATCATCACTGCACCCATTACTCCTCCAGGAAGCATTATAGTTTCTGATCATGGACTCGTCTCCTGAAAGTCCAACCCACATTCTCTTTAAATTCCCTTCCGCGCTGAACCAGAACCTGAACCAGACCCCCTTCTTCTTCAATGGCGGAACCACCAGACCCCACAGTACCTCGAACCCCTTGTATAGTCGAAACCAGACCCGAAATGGGCTCCGATTCCGACCCATTTGGGCTCGGACCCGCCGGAAGTGGCGCTTCGACTCCGCCGCCTGGGATTCGGCGAGTGAATTTCAGAGCTGTTATTGACACCAACCCGCCATTCGGGTCTGTCAAAGAGGCCGTCACTCGGTTCGGCGGAAGCGGCCCATGGATACCCTTTTGCAAGGTAAAGAACCACCAATGCCTTTGCTCCGTAGTATTTTTCTCCATTTTTTATGATTTTCCTTGTAGGGAGTTTCTAGAACTTCTGTAATGGGCTTTAATTTTTGTCCTGTTTTTTTTCATGTTTCTTTTATGTTCTGGACTTGTCGTTTACTTGAAGTTTGAATCCTCTGTCAATTCAAGGATATATATGAAATGGCTTTAGATAATGATCTTACACCAATTGATTTCTAATTCAAGATGAACTATTAATGATAAAGCAGCAAGGGATTGAGGGGTTTGATATTAAGAGAATGGAGGAAGAAACAGCAGAATTGGAGAAGGATCTGATTGTGAAAGAATTGGAAACACTTGATGTATTGGAAGAACTGGGTGCAACAAAAAGAATGGTGGAAGAATTGAAAAGGCAGCTGCGGAGTGAAGCATTGAAATGCTTTCCATCCCCAAATTTCAAGGAAAGTTTTGATGATATCAAGAACAACCATGAACATATGTTAGGAGATTCATGTCCATCCCCTGATATGATCTTAATGGAGTTGAATCAAGCTAAAATGAATCTTGGAAAGACAATAAATGATCTGTGTGTCATTCAATCTTCTGTTCAATCTCTGAATAGGAAAATGAATAGAGAGAAGAGCTTGCTGGCCAAGAGACCACACAGGGCAACGCCCAAGTTTTGTAGGACATCCACATTGGATGAGCAGCTTCACCCAATTCAAGTGACTAATGATGTTGAATTTAAAGATGTATCTGAGGTTTCATTCAATACTCCTCAGTTGAGTCCAATGCGTGGATCGATATCGGATTATTTCGCCGGGGTAGCAGCGAACGAGCGCACAAAGGCTTGTTTGAGGACGGCTGAGTTAAGGTTGATAGCAGCCAGGAAGATGGAAGAGGCTGCTAGAGCAGCAGAGGCAGTGGCTGTAGCTGAGGTTGAAATTCTAAGTGGCATGGAGTATTCAACTGGGTTTTCCCTGCAAGAGCCTGAGACAATGGTATTCAACTTCAAAGATCAATTTGATGGGACAAATTCTTCCAAATTGACCATTGCAAAGAAGTTGAAGGAAGCAAAAGAAGAGCTTAATCTTGGTAAGAAAGCTTTGGAGGAAGCTCTAAACAGAGTTGAGCTTGCCAATAGAAACCAACTAGTAGCTGAAGAAACTCTAAGAAAATGGGTAGCAGAAAACAAAGAGCCTGGGTTTTACTACCACCCGACGCTCAATTACCGTCCATCTGTTCATCAAGATTCAAAGCCTGTTCTAAGATCTGCCATTTCCATGAGAGATGTTCTTAGCAGGAAGCAAGGTTTAAGCGGAGAAAACATTGGAAGAAGTGATAGCCATTGTGAAAACCAGAAGGTTGCTCTGAGTCAAATGCTCCATCTCCATGCGCTAAGAGAGGATCTAAGGTTTCCTTCAAGAACAGAGAATGATAGGAAGGAACAAAAGAATCCCACAACAGAGAGAAAGAGGTTTGGGTTCATCCATATAGCTCTCCCCATGATGAAGCAAAGTAAGAAAAAACCACAACCATAAGCACTCTATGTATCTATTTATTCATTCATTAGTTTTCTATGGGTTTTGAGTGATGGTTTTATAATACCACTATGTGATATTCAATCATTTCAACCGAGGTATCATTGCTTCTTAAGTGTTTGCTTTGAAGTTTTGTTAGAGGGATTGGTTGATGTTTAATGTGTTTCTTGTTGGGAGTTTATTTATTCTTGTTTTGGTTGCCATATGCTCTCTTCATGCTCTACCATTTTGATGAAGCATTCAAACTATTTCTCCTAACAATCTTCCACAATACAATCTTCAAACTATTTCTCCTAACAATCTTCCACAATACAATCTTTCCATCACACACGATTCATCATCAATCAACCTTAAGTATAGTTCAGTTCAATTGGTAAAACACGAGGTTTCCACACCCTTATAAGAAATGTGTTTGTTTTCTCCTCTCTAACTGAAGAGGTGTTCACACCCTTGTAATGATGTAGTGTTTTCTCCTCTCCAATCGAAGAGGTCTTCACACCCTTGTAAGGAATATGGTGTTTTCTTCTCTCCAACCAATGTGAGATCTCACAATCCACGCTGCTTAGAGGCCCAACGTTCTTGTTGGCGCACCGCCCGATATTTGGCTCTAATGCTAAGCTTATCATATATTGTCCTCTTTGGACTTACCCAAACACTCTTATAAGGAATGCCTTATTCAGGCCCAGCGTTCTTACGGGCACATCACTCAATATCTAGCTTTGATACTATTTGTAATCAAACCAAACCTATCCCTAGAAGATATCGTCTTCCTTAATTTTTCATTCTATGCTCCCTCTCAAGGTTTTAAAATGGGTCCAAAAGTATCTAAACACGAAGACTAAGATTTGTTTGATTTGGTTTATTATTAAGATTTTAATTTTAGTTTAACTGTGAGGTAAAAAACATATATGAATTTAATTTATTCTATTTTAGTGACATGTGGTAGATGTATTAGAATTTAAAAATGGGTGTGGAATAAAATGAAATAGGCTTCCCCAATAAAAGGTTACATATGCTCCCCCCACGTACCCATCAATTAAACATAAATATCCATTAAATTGTACAAATAAAAAAAAGAAGTGATAATTATCCATAAAGTTCCCAATTTGATATGACTTACCCAACTAGTCTTATATATTCCCGCATAATTTGTAACATATCTTTTATTTAGTTTCTATGACTTCAAAATAATAATAATAACAACAATAATAATCCTTAAATTATTATTAACTCTTTATTTTTTTATTTGTTATTAATCTTATAAATTTAACCCAACCGAACTTACTGTATGATTTAATTCAATAGTAAAAAATGAGGAACATATTATAAATATTTTACCGGTACAATATATCAACTAAAGTTTATCTTTTAATAAAGTTTTCTTTTATTAAAATATATCAACTAAAGAACAATATTGACCCAACCTCTAATTAATAATTATATCAATTATTTTATAAATTAAATTAAACTTTGGAAAAGAATAATCTAATATAAATAAACATTAAAATAGCTAAGAACTAGTTGTATGACATTTTGATATATTTCGGTATGATATTATGTATTTTGAAGATAAGCCTTTATGATTTTAAATTTGATTTTACTTGTTATCGTACCGACCACGACTAAGTCAGAGGGCATCGCTTTGATACCTCTTATGAAAGAAAGTTGACTAAGAAAGTAATTTTTTTTGGACAAATCTGTTGGTGATTTTAGTTTTGGTCGGATTAATTAACGGTGATAATTTATGGAGTTTTGGTTAAATGGAAGATTAGGGATTGGTGGGAAATGTGTTTGAAATGCCCACGGAATGAATCAAAAACCCTTTTCCCCAATGAATAATAATTAAAAAGATAAATAAAGTTATATATGCTTTGTCACACGTAACCATCAATCCACCTCCATATTAATTTCAACATAAATACCCAATAAAATCTCATAATTATCCATAATCTCTCAAAAATGTGATTACATTAACGATAATCTTGTTTAATTACTATTAATTAAAAAGGGGCTTTTTCTTAAATACTTGTGGCATTTACACGTGCCACCATTTTACACTAATGGATGTTAGGCTGGCGTATAAAAGCATTAGCACAAAATTAGGGATGGATTAAATTATAATTTGAAGTGAATTAATTAAATGAAATTAAATTAAATTAAACAGGCATTATATTATGTGTCAAGCATTTGGCAGCTGTTGCTGTGGGTGGTGAAATTATTCCCAAAAAATGAAAAAGAAAAATTGAATCTTGAGAGGAGAATATCTTCGAACCCTATTATGAACTCGCTTTTATAATTAATTATGATTAATTCACTAAATAAACCCCAAAAAAAATGAGATTATATGAGTATTCGATTAATTAGGTTACAGCAATAGATTGGGCAGAAGGGTTTGGATCTGGGTCCCAAGAACTTTGGATTAATTACGCTTATCATTTCCCTCTAATTATATATTAATCATTATCCTTTTATATTTTAACCTAACTTTAATGCTTTTGCTTTTTTTCTGAAAAGCATGCATATGGGATTCAGACAAAATATGTGTAATTTCTTTATATAAAATATCAATTAACTAATTAACTATATATGTGCCGACCAAATATAATTAGCCAAAGTGTGACAAATTAATTAATTAAATGATTAGTATAGTATAGTATAGTATAGTGGTTTTTGTGGCTTTTTTTAACTTTAACTCTTGTAATATAAGATGATTAATAGTGGATAGTTGAATTAGCTTTCAAACTTTTGGTAACCCATCAATCCATGCATCAATTGGTCAATTCCTTGATGCTGAAAGGATGGGAGTTAAAGTAGCACTTTGATTGGCACATAAAAATGCTAATCTATAGTTTGTTTTTTTTTTTTAATAGTTCAACTACTTTAGACCGGCTAGGAATTCAGTTGATTTATTTTTCTCGATCTGTTGTGTATGTTTAGTGATAGTAAGTGATGAGATTGATACGTTATTTAAATAGTTGTCTATAAATGAATTCTTTGGTTGTCGGTATCGTTCTGTTTGATATTTAGGTTTCTAAATGTTATATTTTTAGCTTTGTGTTTAGTTTTCATTAGTGTTCGGATTTTGTAAGTTAAAGTAAGTATGAATAGTGAAAACTTGAGGGTAAAAGTGTAAAATGCTACCGCATAAAGACTAAATGGAAACGAAAATCAAAATTCAATGGTGATGATGTAACATTTTGAAATCTAGGGACCAAATTGAATTTAAACTTTAAATTAAGAACTAAAAATGTAACATCCTAATAAATAATCCATTTTAGCCCGTTATATCTTCGTCGTCAACCTCACGGTTTTAACATGCATCTACTATGAAGAGGGTCTAGCCTTACTTCAACCAGTGTCTCGTATCGTTTAATGACTGACTTTGATACAATTTGTAACAGCCCAAGGCCATAGCTAATAGTGTCTTGCTCGTTTTGACCCGTTACGTATCGTCGTCATGGGCTCCACATTGATTAAAGAGGGAAACAAAACATTCCTTATAAGTGTGTAGAAACTTCTTCCTAGCAGAGGTGTATTAAAATCATGAGGCGAACAATGATATATAACATGTCAAATCGGATAATATCTACTAGCGGCGAGTTTAAATTGCTACAAATAATCTCATTACTGGACTAATAGATGAATGCCATAGGATGGGAAGGACACATTCTATCGTGGGTGTCATTGTCACATAGGCAAAAAAAAATTAAAAATAATAATAATAAATTGATGTCACTCAACCCAACATGCAATCTTAGCACATTGCCTTTAAATGATTCATCATTATTTTCTACATTATGTTATATGAAGGGACAGCTAAGTACCATCTTCTATAGTTTTCACTATTATTTATATTAATAAACCCCAACCAAATTCTAAAAATAGAAACATAAAAATAATCTTTTCTTTAACCAAATTACTTTTTCAATATCATTTTTTTTGTAAACAATTCTTTAAATTCTCTCCTGAGTGGTATTTAGGTCATACCTTAAATTCAATAATATTAAATTCAATAATATCATTGGGCCCTCTCGATGGTCGAACAAAAAATTCTAAACCTAATTTAATTAGAAAGATTTTCGTGAGGAACAAAAATAAATTAATTTAAATTAAAAAAATGCTATTTCATGGGAGGGAGTACAAATTTAAGTGGGACTTAAAAAATAAAATTTTAGAAATTATTTTATAGTGTATTTTGAAAACATTTTTTTTAAATAAGAAAAAATCTTTAAAAAAATGTGTTTATAAAATCCATTCCTTTTAAGGGTCAAATCTCAGTGTGAAAACAAACAAAAATGTTGATTTTCAAGCAACCAACCCGAAGAAAGAACAGCTTTCGTTGAAAAGAGCATTTATGAAAAGAAAAAAAAAATTAATTTAAGATTAAAAAATAGTAATTTAATATATTTTTGGATTTTGGAAAAAAAAAAAAAAGAAGTATAAAACAAAGACGCAACTTAAAAATTGAACACACGACAGCCGAAATTTCAAATTATTTAATTATTTAAATATTTAAATTTGTATTTCTGTAGTCAACCACCCACTTCCCAACCAGCTCCCTCTAAGAACAGTGAAAGTGACGGAGGCCGAACCTCCACAAGTTTGCGTATTATTTCAAACCACTTCAATTTCTCCATTTTTATTTTTTTTATTTTTTTTATTTTTTTTATTTTAGCATTTATATCTATGGATAATGTTTTTGGTCTTCACAACACTTACACCTACGACATATCCAAATATAACATATTCAATATTTATTCAAATTTTACGCTTTCTTTTATTATTATTATTTTCTATGTTCATCAATGTCCCGTTATTAAATTCAAACATTTGAAAAAAAAATTAATATTAAATTATATAATTCATTTCCGCTGATAAATATTGTGGTCGCTTTAGTGGGAAACCACTATTTGAATTTATAATATTTTTAAAAATAAATGGAAGATTGTTTTATATCGTGTGTGGTATATATTTAATACAATAAAAAATTTATTTTTAAAAAGTAATATATTTAAACCACCTACTCAACTAAGTTCCCACTCCCACTAGTGTATCTCTTTTCGACTTCATCTCTCTCATATTAAATTCCATCATCTCACTCTTTTAAATATTTAAAAATTAAAATTTATTACCTCTCCTATAAATAAATAAATAAATAAATAAATAAATAAATAATCTCCAACCTTTATATTCTAATTCTTGCCAATTGTTTCAATTATTATTCTTGGTGAAAAATTTACATAGTATTTAACAAATTTTTTAATAAATAAATTATGTTAGATAATGTTTTTAGCAATATCATTTTTGTAATATATTGTTTTACAATCATAATTTTTAAAATTTTAAATTTTTATAAAATATTTTAAGTATATTAATTTATATTAACTTTTTTTGGAATTGTTGGTGGTAGCAAAGTAATAGTTGTCACTTTCCTTATTTTTCCGGAATTTTTAAAATACAAGTAATATTAAAAACAAGCCTGACATAGCCTAGGAAAAAGGAAACTCCAACCGAAACTAGAAAAAGAAAAATATATAATAAAGAATAATTAAAATAGAAATAAATAAATAAATAAATAACAATAACAATTATGAGACTTGACTGAATGAAATTAAACTGCGGAGAGATCCCCGGTTCGAGAATCTATCGTCGTCTTCTTCTCCTTCAAATTTTATTTCTATATATATAAACCAATTATGTGTCGATAGATGCCAGCTTCCCCATCTCCGAACTTGCCTCAACAGACCTTATGGAAGTCCAAACCACCGCGCAACCAGGCCGCCTCGACCGCCTCAACTCCGCCGTCGCCAAAACCTGGATTGGTAGGCGGTTCAAATTAAGCGAAAGAAACTCCAATTTCACCACCGAGCTCCGCGCCGGCACCACCACCTTCTTAACCATGGCCTACATCTTGGCTGTCAACGCCTCCATCCTTGCCGATTCCGGCGCCACCTGTTCCCAATCGGATTGCGTCCCTCTCTGTTCCGACCCTTCCATTTCCATCCCCAATTGTTCCGGGCCGAATCTCCGACTCATCCAACCCGATGGGTCCTGCATGTTCGACCCCGTCAATCCTGGCTACGCCGCTTGCCTCGATCAAGTCCGTAGAGACTTAATTGTTGCGACAATTGCTTCGTCGCTAATTGGTTGCGTTATAATGGGCGTTTTTGCGAATCTTCCTCTTGCTTTAGCTCCGGGAATGGGGACTAATGCTTATTTCGCTTACACCGTCGTCGGGTTTCATGGCTCCGGTAACATTTCTTATCAGAGCGCCTTAACCGCCGTTCTAATGGAGGGGTTAATCTTTTTACTCATTTCCGCAATTGGGTTTCGTGCAAAATTGGCGAAATTAATCCCGAAGCCAGTTCGAATCAGTTCCTCTGCCGGAATTGGACTGTTTTTAGCGTTCATCGGATTACAGAGTAGCCAAGGAATTGGTCTAATCGGCTTCAGCCCATCGACGTTAGTGACACTCGGAGGCTGCCCAGAAGCCTCCCGGGTGTCGGTGTCCCCCGTGGTGAGTTCCGGGAACGGAACGGTAAGTCTAATGGCCGGAGGAACGGCTTCCGGCGGAATACTCTGTTTGAACGGAAGAATGGAGAGCCCAACTATGTGGCTGGGCATAGTGGGATTCGTGATAACTGCGTATTGTATGGTGAAAAACGTAAAGGGGGCTACGATTTACGGGATCATATTCGTGACGGTGGTTTCGTGGATTCGAAAAACAAGTGTGACGGCGTTTCCAGAGACGGCGTCAGGGGAGGCGGCGTATAAGTACTTTAAGAAAGTTGTGGATATACACACAATTAAAAGCACAGCTGGAGCACTAAGCTTTAAGGATTTAGGGAAGCCCCACTTTTGGGAGGCGATGGTCACTTTCTTATACGTGGATATTTTGGATACCACTGGAACGCTTTATTCAATGGCCAGATTTGCAGGATTTGTGGATCAAAATGGGGATTTTGAGGGGCAGTATTTTGCCTTTATGTCTGATGCTACGGCCATTGTCGTCGGATCATTGTTGGGGACTTCGCCGGTGACGGCGTTTATTGAGTCCTCCACGGGAATAAGGGAAGGCGGCAGGACGGGGCTGACGGGACTGACGGTGGCGGCTTATTTCTTTCTGGCGTTCTTTTTTACTCCGTTGTTGGCGTCGATTCCGGCGTGGGCGGTAGGGCCGCCATTGATATTGGTGGGGGTTTTGATGATGAAGGCGGTTGTAGAGATTGAATGGAATGATATGCAGCAGGCAATTCCGGCGTTCATGACGTTGATATTGATGCCGTTGACTTATTCTATTGCTTATGGTCTGATTGGTGGAATTGGGACTTACGTGGTGCTGCATGTACCGGATTGGGGTTGGGCTGGTTTGGAAAAATGTGGACTTGTGAAGTTGAGGAGCCATGTCAGTGCATCTAACGGGCAGCTCCTGGCTGAAGAAGATCCTGCCCGAAAATCTGTACAGCCCGAAGTATAGTTTTTAAAATATTTTATTCCATCATTGTTATAATTTTTTTTTTTTTTTTTAATTTTGAAATATTGAAATGTTAATTATATATTAGGTGTTACCTAGGTAGCAGCTACATGGGAACATAGTAGGGGGGACGGCCGGACAGACGCCAAAATGTTTTAGTCAAAGGATTTGACTTTCATTATTATTATCATTATTATGTTCAAATCAAAACCAACCTGTTACCACCTCATTCCTCACCTTTGACATTCAATTTCATCGTATAGTCATGTTTACCTACCAAATCTGGCTTGTTTATGCTCATTTCTTTGGTTCGTTAAAATTATAATCATATTTTCAAACGATAATTCCTAAAGTAAACTTATTCCACAATCGTTTTCAAAAATTGCCACCAAACACATAGTTCTTTTGACCTATACACTACGGGATTAGTTCAAGTCCTGAAATGAACGCTATCTAAACGATTGTGTTTCGTACTTGTCATGATACCAGAAACGATGATTCTTGCGTTGTGGTCATGCCGAGTGGAGTGGCGATTCGAAGGAAGAAGAAGAGGAGGAGGAGGATGCTTCTCCTTCCTTTAACTTTCATGTGAGAGCCCCAAAGGCGAACCGAATCCGGACCCACACTTGACGGCGTTATCCAAACAAATTCATTTCCTGAGCAATCACTTTACAGCAATGCCTTTCAATTTAGCCTAAAAAAACAGAGGATGAAGGCATAACATCAATCAAATATGAAACAATGAAACAACGTTGAAGTTAAGACTAAAACAGTGAGATAGTAGTAGTAGGCGTGTAATATGCTGCAAACTAGGGAAGGAATAGATGTTTTTTGACACAACCACACGATTCTGGAATAAGGAAAGGGAATAAGAGGGAGGGAGTTGGGACACGGACAACAAAAGTGAGCAGAACATATTCTTGCATCAAGGTGTTCCATCTGACACAAAATTATGTGGCATGCGTGTTTTCTATTCCAGTTTTTTCTATCCCCAAGCAATAAAAGACCATTTTCGGAGGTTTTTGAGGCATCACACACAAGACAAGACATGGTCCACAACACAACTCAATGGTCTTCTTCATAACTGGGACACGTATTCAGGTTCTTGTCTGAAATGACACCATTACTATGCGTCCAAGTGGCTCCATATTTCCTGACACTCTTCTTGGTAAAGATCCTACCCATCCCCCCTTTTCTATTATTATTATCAATGGTATCGGCCTTCGCTTTGCTTTGCTGGGCTTTTCTCCTCCATTTGTTCTCTCTTTTTCTGCGTGTGAAAATAGAATATTGGTCACTCAAGTCACAACACACCCAGAGTAACGATGAAGCTACCTATGGCTGGCAGGCAGGTTGACATTGACAGAAATCTCAACCAACTTAGTCAATGAGTTGACTGATGTTATCCAAATCTACACTCATAAGTTCTACTCTTTTAACTTTATGCATGAAGTACACTGCTTCATGTCTCAACGTGTCTTTTGAAGTCAATGACACAGAAAATTTATCCCAACCATTTCTGGACAGTTCATGTACGATCTAACGAATATACTCATGAGTATCAGTACTTGAAAATCCCAACATTCTACGTTAGTTTTAACGGCTAGATTTACCGCAAGAACAAAAAAAAGTCAAAACTAGTGCTTTTGGGCAGAGAACACACTAAAGCGTGGCAGTGACAGGCTTTTTGTGTTGAATTTGGTGCGCTAAGTTCCAAAACAAGTGTCCGAGGTTGCAGGTGACAGTTTCAAGACATTTGGGAATTGGTTTTTTTCTGCTTGGAACTCCACCAAATTCCTCTTGCTAGCAAAATATTAGACCCTGTCTTATTTTTTGATGTGGTTTGGTTCATTGCTAATCAGATGATTTACACACTCAACAGTGCAATACAACAAAGTCTAAACCACCCATCGGCTGAAATGGATACAATGGAGTGCCAAGTGGGTTTGTATGGAATACCTCATGTGAGTCTCTCCCTTCTCAACCTTTCTAGTTCCTTGACCATCTGCCAATGTTCCAATGACAAAGAGGTTTCTCCGTAACTTGCAGACATCAGGCGACCTATCGTTAGCAACCTGCACATTAATTACAGACGTTAAGAAAACTATGAGCAAGACGGAATAACAAATGAACTATGAGATCCTATATCGGTTACAGTATCTGTTAGTTGTGGGCTTGGACCGTAACATGAACATTTTAAAAGTAACACATGTAATACTTGCCTGCTTAAGTCTTGGCTGCCTAAGCTCCTATCTGCCTGCTTCGCTGCCACCAAGTCATTTTCTACAACCTGTAAGCCCAAAATTATGAATTTCAAGCGCCAGAAGATAATTTCAAGAATCAAGTAAGTCTAAGATGTACCTGCTGCATTTCTGACTCAATGGAATGCGGCAATGACCTTAAATTAGATAAGTACCAGCTCCATGCCTCTAGTGCATTCATATCAGTAATTGCGGAAGAACCTACAGATGAAGGTTGGAAAGGCACAACCAAATCAGCTGGCAAAATGTTGGATTTACCCTCTGACAAAATTAGCAATTGGACATCGGTTGTCATATCCATTTTGTAGTACTTGAAATCATATTCAACCTGGAGAAAAGGGTTTATTTAATCAATACAAGGACGAGGAGCAAGTAATTCAACCAAAAACATAGAAAATATTTCATCTACGTGTATGTACAAATAGGCTGCGCCAACACAGATACCTTTTGCGACTCCATTAAATTTTTCAGCAGCCTTGCGTTTTCAACTCCAAGAGAATTCAGTGTCCCTATTTCCAGTTGTGTTTCATCAATCATCAAATGTGAACCTTCTGCCAGCTGAAGAACACCAGGAACCAATCTGTATTTTGTCAAGATATTACACCAATTATTTCAATTTGGATGAAATCAAGGAGAAGCATTAGCCAACTGTCAGCGTTATTTCTGTGATAGATTAGTCATCCACCATCAACTTACCTGTTTATCTCATAATCCTTCTTCGGTGCCAGTGAGGCGGTATTTAGATATTCCACTGTGAGTGGTATATATTCAGTGAATGGAAGAAGACTCTTGACAGTAAGCCTGAGCTGATTCCCAAAAATTGACATACTTTCGTTGTTAAAACCAGTGAGGTTCAGTGAAAGTTTACCCACGGCCAGGGAATCCACCCTAGCATGCACCTGATCAATAAATTTGTCCATTAAAATTTAAACTCATACATGATAACATAGTGATAAAATTATATAGACCAAGATTAACAGAACATAGAAGTAGAGACAAGTTAGATAATGAATAATGAAAAGGAAATACCCTGACCTTGGATAGAAGATGCAACAACAAAAAGTGAGCTGCAACTCCATCATTGCCAAGAACAACGGTCAGGTGATTTAGTAGAGTGGTACGTATCTCTCGAATTAGATGGGTTGTTGGCTGTTACATAAGAATATAACGTACGTAAATAAGCGGTACAACATGGAAAAAGAAACAAAAACTACACTAGTGACAATAAAAGAGATATCACTTAGAGCACCTCTAACACATGGAAAGTTTGGAAGTCATGAACAGCAAGTTTCCTGTGAACAACGCAATGGAGACACGGTACCTATAACAAAATAGAAAATTGATGCTATATTAATTTATCTAGAACCACTCAAGATCACTTCCAGAGGTAACTAACTAGACAGAGGGAAATGATGAAAGAGTTTAACATGCATCAATACCCTGTCGGGAGGAAATTGAACCGATAAGTCCTCACATAAACCATTTGAGAACTCATCATCGTCATCCTTCTCAACTTTTTGCTCTGTGTCAAGGGTAATGACACCAATAAACTCAACAACATCATTCAATTTCAACTCAGACTCCACGGTATCATACATCTGCAATATAGATAGATATTCTGAGAATTAAGAAACACTTCCAACCCCACAACAAAATTGATAATAACAACTATATTACAGCCTGATTCAGGATATAGCGTGGGTACTTACCTTAACTAGACAAGGAAGAAAATTTCTTTCAGCATTGTTGACAGTGCTTAGACTAGATATAGCCACAGAGGAAATATTTGGAGACTGTAAGCCAGGCGAAAGTTGTTCGTCTTTCTATGAAATGAAAGAGATGATAACAGAAGAATAAGTTAAATTAAAATACACCAAGAGAGGTAAAACAGCAAAACGTCTTACATTGGTATAACCTCTTTATGAACAATGAAACAAGAATATAAAGTTTGCATCTCATTTTTCTATTGTGAAAGGTGCTGAGCAAGTTAACTTCTGAAACTCCAAAAGATGATACTCAATCTGAAATAAAAACTACTGACAGAGTAAAACTAATAAGCGTTTAAAAAAAGAAGTTCGCTCACCATCTTTTTCGCACTGGAAGAACTTTGAAGCTCATCACTTGAAGCCTGTGATTTAAATAAGATGTCAGAAGGCAGCAGCTGCTATTCCCTTTATAATAAAACAGAGAAACAGAGTAACTAATCCCTACATGAAATAGTGATTAGAGCCAGAGTAGTGCACAACAGACCAAAGCGCCGCAAAAGAAATTGAATAATTAACAAATCTATTTTTTCAGGAGAATAAGCAAGCGACAAGCTGTACTGACACCTAAATTCTACCAAGTATCAAAAGTACATGAACATTTCTCTAAGAAATCCAAATTCCGAGGAACGACTCTTTTTCCATCTTTTTCGGGATCATGCAGACCTTCTCAAAGTAAATAACTAGAATTATTTGAGCTGTCGTGCTAAATATCAGAAATCTCTAAAGGCACATGAATAAATCTAATAGATATGAATACAACAAGTACTGAACAAATACAGATTGAAGAAGCAATTTATGATATATTTGGTGTTGATGGGGTCGTGGATGAAATGAACAGCTAAAAGTTCAAAATAAAACGAGAGCAAGTCATAGAGGAAAAAGTACAAGCAAGTCCATAGGATCAACAGAATTTTCATCCAATCTGCAACGCTTTTGTTTGTTTTCAGATGTCCCATCAGCACTCTGATTGATCTCTCCTAAACGTGAGGATTCTGTCCAAGAATTCTGACCTGGAACCTAACCAAAATGATAAAGAATGCACTAAAAAAACAGCCATCGAGCACACACACAAATTCAAAGGGAGAAATTTTGCAGGAACAGCTTACAAAGTAGGGGTAATTATTGAAAACTCACAGGCACACAGTACAGCAAACGGCGTTCCCAAATGCGCATATCTGGGGAAATTCCTGTCGGGCATTGAGAAGAATCCGTAAACTTGGTGGTTTTCCAAGTGGAGCCATACTTCACAAT